GTGTGTGTCAGCGTGTCTAACAGGCCACCTTTGACGGGCCTTTCAAACACCAGGTGGATCACTCGTCCGTCTGGCTACCCAATGAAAACAAACTGTCTCATTCCAAGATGGGTGGGCGTGGACGTGTGGGTGGGTGAGTGTATTTGTGGGGAGGAGTGTGTGTAGTGGGGGATGTTGTGTGTGTTCGCGTGTGGGGGATGGGTGGTGGGTGGGGTAAGAGAGAGAGAGAGAGAGAGAGAGAGGAGGGGAGAGAGAGGAGGGGAGAGAGGGGGACGAATATATTGCTGTGTGTCTCTGTGCTTGTTGTAAGTCTCTTTTGCTATCTGTTTCCAGTGTTTATTATATCTTCCAAACAACTTTTATGTTACAACCGATCTGCTCCCCCCACCCCCCAAGAAACAAACAAACAAACAAAAAACCATCCTTCCTTATCAATCCTGTGTCCATTTTTCCCCACACAGTGTTCTCTAGAAAGTTCCAGCAGCAAACGTTCCAGCGAGCAGTCCTCAGACTTGTGGTGGATGAACGCCAAGCGGTACCAGTTGATGGACAAAGCTGTCGCATCCAGGGAGACTGGGCCTCTTATCATGAGGGAGAATGAGAGGTGAGAGGGAGGAGGAGAAGACTGAGGGAAGGGGAGAGAGAGCGAGAGAGAGAGCGAGAGAGAGAGAGAGAGAGAGACAGAGAGAGAGACAGAGAGAGAGAGACAGAGAGAGAGAGAGAGAGAGAGAGAGAGAGAGAGACAGAGGGAAGGGGGGAGCGGAATGTGAAAAAAATGAGGTTGAACGTGTAGTGGTGGGAGAGCAAGAGGAAGATGTAAACAACAGAGTAAGAGGAATAGGCTGATAGTAATCGTGATAGGGGGTTAGACAAAGACAAAGATGATGGATGAGAAGGAGAAAAATTGAACGAAAGAGGAAAGAAGATGGTGATGGTGATAGAGGAGAAAGAAAAATGGGAGAGAGAAGGTTGAGCAGGTGAATGTGGATGTAGATCTAAGCGTATTTGTACTCTTCGTCATTCCTTCTAGAGTGAACATCAAGTGCATGAAGTGTTCTACAGATAGGTCCTTTGTTTGTAACTTTCCCTTTTTTGTTTCCGTCTCCGAAGCTTTCCATTTTCTCAACACTTTATGGCAGTAATTGTGTGAATGTACATTATCTTCACACAATCTAAACCTGTTCCAGATGGACTCACATAGTGGTGGATCACGTGCTGACCAAGGCGAATCTGTACGATGTGCTATTTTTAGCCACAGAGGACGGCAAGGTGCGGAAGATGTTGAGACTGCCAGGGACAAACAAGACTTGTCTCATAGAGGAGATCAAGATTGTGCAGAACGGCAAGCCTAGGCCCGTGAAGAGCATGAAGATCTCGCCCTACCAGGTGAGGGAGACGGGTTGACTTAGGGGGCACTGTACTATGGGAATGAAAATAATGAATAAGGGATTATATTATGTCCCCAAAACAGAACTATCTATTTCTTCCTTATATCCATGTGCAGCTTACGTCTTTTCTTGAAAGGCAAACCAAACAACGAACAGTCAGATATACCAAAATTAACCCTCCCCATCCAACCTGTTTTGTTGCAGGGTGCCATCTACATTTCCACGGATGGCGACATTCTCAAGATTCCTGTAGAAAGATGTCACCGCTTTACCACCAGCACGTGAGTTGTCGGATTTTTATATACCCTTTATCCCCCCCCCCCGCAACTTTTTCTCCTCCCTCTTCAACACCCTCCCTCCCCCACCCAGGAAAAAAACGTATTTACCTAGATTATTTCCTTCTACAATTGCTTATTCGTCAACAAGGTCAAACTACTTTGTTTCTATTTATGAAGATGAACATTATTTATATACATATAAAGTAAATATTGTACTTTAAGCAATATTGAGACATAGAGGTTTAAGTACTGTCCATCGGTCAAATCGGCATAGTACTGCTTTCAGGAACCTTATAGTCATTTTTGAGTGACTTTTTTATAATTATTATTTTATAACCTGTATAGTTACTATTTGAGGAGATTATGGTCTTTATATGAGCAACCATATAGTCTCAATTGGAGGAACTCATTATGTGAAGAATCATACTGGTCACTGTTTGACAAATTGTGCAATTTGTGTGTGTGTGTGTGTCACCAGGATGTGTATGAACGCCCAGGACCCGTACTGTGGCTGGGACTCGCGGAGACAGAGGTGTACGGCAGCGCCTGGAGGAAATCCACACGCCGCAGAGTGGGAGCAGGATTTTAGACAGTGTCCGGTGCTAGACTATCCTGGTATGTGGTTGGTG